ATCATCACCCAAGTCCACCAAGCTTCCGCCCGGTGAGCAATGGCGACCGCCACCTTGAAGTCGGCGCAGGATCGGCATTGGTAAAGATGGGCCCTCGGCCTCGCCCGCACAGTCCAGACACACTCCCCCCGCTCGGGCTACAGCCAGGCGCGACCCTGGCCGGGAAAGCTCTCCGAGGCATCGAACCTCGCCATAAGGGCCTTCAACCCTGAGAGCCGCCTCTCCTCCCCTCCCCAAGCATCTAGGAGCTTCCCGTCCCCTCCCCTCCCCTCCCCTCCCTTGACGCTCCCCAGAGGTTGCGAGCCCCTGGCCCTGGGCCTTCCCCCACAGAGAGAACAACATTGACCGTGCCTGTCCCATCGTGGCAGGTCTCCGGGTGATCCGCCCCCCAATTCACCCACGTGATCGCTTCACTGATGACGGCGGAGACTTTTCCTTGCTCTGTTTCCAGCCTGTGGCGTTCCGCCTCGCATCATCACCCAAGTCCACCAAGCTTCCGCCCGGTGAGCAATGGCGACCGCCACCTTGAAGTCGGCGCAGGATCGGCATTGGTAAAGATGGGCCCTCGGCCTCGCCCGCACAGTCCAGACACACTCCCCCCGCTCGGGCTACAGCCAGGCGCGACCCTGGCCGGGAAAGCTCTCCGAGGCATCGAACCTAGCCATAAGGCCATTAACCCCTGAGAGCCGCCTCTCCTCCCCTCCCCTCCCCTCCCTCCCTTGACGCTCCCCAGAGGTTGCGAGCCCCTGACCCTGGGCCTTCCCCCAGAGAGAGCAAAACATTGCGCGTGCCTGTCCCATCCTAGCAGGGCTCCGGGTGATCCGCCCCCCAATTCACCCACGTGATCGCTTCACTGATGACGGCGGAGACTTTTCCTTGCTCTGTTTCCAGCCTGTGGCGTTCCGCCTCGCATCATCACCCAAGTCCACCAAGCTTCCGCCCGGTGAGCAATGGCGACCGCCACCTTGAAGTCGGCGCAGGATCGGCATTGGTAAAGATGGGCCCTCGGCCTCGCCCGCACAGTCCAGACACACTCCCCCCGCTCGGGCTACAGCCAGGCGCGACCCTGGCCGGGAAAGCTCTCCGAGGCATCGAACCTCGCCATAAGGGCCTTCAACCCTGAGAGCCGCCTCTCCTCCCCTCCCCTCCCCTCCCCTCCCCTCCCCTCCCTTGACGCTCCCCAGAGGTTGCGAGCCCCTGACCCTGGGCCTTCCCCCAGAGAGAGCAAAACATTGCGCGTGCCTGTCCCATCCTAGCAGGGCTCCGGGTGATCCGCCCCCCAATTCACCCACGTGATCGCTTCACTGATGACGGCGGAGACTTTTCCTTGCTCTGTTTCCAGCCTGTGGCGTTCCGCCTCGCATCATCACCCAAGTCCACCAAGCTTCCGCCC